TTTCCCATCATCCATTTTCAAAAATCCAGTATCAAAATCAAGAGTAATCATCATTTCTCTAGCTGGCCTCTTCATTCACTCAGTCTTAGAGTCATAGAATTATTTAGGTTGGAAAATAAAATCAGATTCTTTACATCCAAACATTGCAACTGTTTTCACTAGTCAGTCTAGGGCAAATTTAATAAGTGAGCAGAGTCTGTCTCAAGGACATTGTGTACATCAGGTGATAGCTGTGCTGTTCATCATTGACTGATCCTTTCAAACACTTAGCACATCTGCACAACATCATATCCGTGTTTCTGAGATTACTACATTTATAGCATAGACACCCACTGGAGGCTTTACAGCTGTGCCAGTAGCAGCTTACATTAAGAACTGCACCTGACAGGATTAATCAGTAAGGTTAATACTAAACAATTCTGATGAAATTTTCCAAAAATGGGACCAAACTAGAAGGATACACTGGCCTGGAGAATCGAGGAACAATTGCTTCATCTTGAACTACATTAATTCAAGCATTTAGATAAGAGGTAAGAAAAAGGTATAGGAACTGTAAAGTCTTCCAAACTATTAATTTTTGACAAAGTACATTTTTAAATTGTGTATTGATGATTCTAATAAATCTATAGCTTTGATATACAAAACTAAAATCAACTGTTTTTTGCAAGACCTTTTCCAGCACTGAATAAATATCTGATGGGGACGCATTCAAATATCTGTAAATGAGATTGCTATACATAGTTTGCAATTCTTTGTTCCAATTACAGTTAGAGAAAACCATGAAGAGTAGAGATAAGGAAATTTTCTGCAAGCTTCATGCTTCATTGAAGGTGACTTTTTGTTTCCTGCCACGATATTTGCAATTCTAACCTGTATCCTTTGGAAAGCAAGAGCATCTAGCAAGCATTTCCATTTCCAAGGAAAGGGTATCTTTTAATTTTGTCAATACTAAAGATTCAGTTCCCACAATGCATAGCTGACTTGCAACTAGAAAAAAAAGACTATTTCCAGTGTCTCCTAAAATCAGAGGATAGAAGGTACATGAAAATTAAATCACTTACAACTCAGAAATAAACGGAAATTTAAGAGCAAGCTCTTGATAAAATATAATAGTACCTTGACATACAAAATTTCCATTTCAGCAATATTTCTAAATAGTAAAAATAAATAGATTCACACAGTAAGCCCTCTTCTACAACACACACACACACACACACATATATATACGTCTACATGAATTTGTGTTGTCAGCCAAGTGGGACCAAAGCAAACTGTTTTTTAACTTAAACTGAAGATGGAAAGAGCTGTTACATATTTAATTACTTCAAATCCATTATTTCTTCTTTACTAAAACAAATATCTGCTTCACAAATACATGTTGCAAGGTCTTGTGCAAGCACTGTATGGAGCTCTTTGTAATTCAATACAAGCACAAAATTTTGTATTTTTGTACAAATACAAAATTAATGAGGCTGTGGGTCTACAACATGGAAAGTCCAGCTCTACCCCTTTAGTACCAGGTGTAGGAAAAGAAAACTAGAGCTGTATGATGCAAAGTGCTGCTTCAGTATAAATTCACTATTAGTGTAGATCAGCTCAAATTCTTTTGACCAATTAGCTTCAGGCCAGGAGATATTACAGCAAATCACACATTGTCTGTCCTTTAGCCAAAGTCAGCATAAAGCCATCATTAAAGCATAAATCAGCATGTATACCCTTAGCATGCTCTGAGTAGCTCAAAAGCTATGTGACCATGTACCCACGACTAAGCCAGATAAAACTGGTCTTTTCTGGCATCACAAAAAATCTGTATTGCAACTGGAAAACCAAGACTGATATCATGAAAAATACTTCTCGTACCCGCAGGCCTTTTTTCATAATAGATAGCATAATTTGCTGTATTATTTTATGCCTTGGACTTTTTCACCCCCCCAAGCCAATAACTTACACATTTTTCTCTTTTACTTTTTGAGTTCAAGTTTCCTTTCATAACCAGTGCAACTTTACATTTTTAATAGAATGCTGCTGGGTATAACAGGTGAGAAGTGATATTATCAACAACTACAGGAAGTCCACATACACACACAATTTCAGGAAGAATATTCATCTACAAATGGAAGGACTGTAGACCAGAAATTTCTTTCCTTCAGGGGAAAATAAAATTATGGGTGAATGTAAGAAATATTAGTTTCTCATACAGAAACATCCATGATACTACTTACTAAAATAGTGAGTAGTAAAGCCCTGAAAGAAATAAAGAACAAAGAAAGAGTCATCAAGTAAAAAGGAAATACTAAGAAAACATATTTGAATTATAAGAAAACTATTTTTTTCATTCACCACTGAAGTGATTCCTTGCATATTTAAGAAACGTATCAGAATAAGCCCAAAAGCAAAACTGTATTTTTTTCTAAGTGACAGTGAAGCAAGCCAGTAGAAATCCATATGGGAGGATTTTCATAAAGATTCATAAGAATGATGATCATGAATGCTGGCATGTCCTAAAGTTTCAAGCAGTTTGAAACGAGTGAACTATTTCAGTAATTATATTAAACTTCTATACTACTATAATTTCAACATCTATTTTTAACCCCTTTTAGTAATGCATTTGATTTATAGTCCTAAAATTAACATTCTTGGATCCAAGCCTGCTATTAGTAACTGGTGCAATATAATTAAATCAGCAGTAGTAAAGTGTTACTTTTGCCTATTATTTTTATTGCCAGGAAGGTGCTACCTAGAAAAAATTACTAAAGAATAAGAACATCTGATGCACAACTAAGGATCACATGGAAAAGTTTCAGGGTAAGTACTCTGAGGAAGAAAGAAAAAGACTCTACCAAACAGCTCCCTAAGATCACCAGGACTTTCAAACAGAGAGAATGACAGAAGAGGCATATACACACACTTTCTCCCAGTGAAGTGACAAGAACACTCACCTGTAAGAACTAAGTTCTAGTACCCATCACAGGGAATATTTAAGTATCCTTTATAAAGTGGAATACATCAATGAAGGACAAAAAGAAAACCCCTGAAAAGCCTCTTGGTCTTTGTGTGGCTTTCAAGGGCTAATGAAGCAGATGGAAGACTACCACAAATTGCCATTGGACTATACTCACTATATAGACACACTCTGTTCCCAGTTCCTAAACTGGTCAAGTAATTTCCATTTTCTTTATTCCCAGGTCAGTTTATGTTTTCTATTGTACATCATTCACCTTTGAAACACTAAGTTCCTTCCTGCCATTCATCTTGCACTCAGAACACTACTTGCCCTTCCAGTATAACATAAACCAAATTAATTTCCCCCCTTTTTGAGGTCATGACAAACACTACTTATCTCCCTGCAAATTCAAAGTAAAATATAATTTCACTTGAGTTTCTACTTCAACCAGTATTTCTTCCAAAGCATTTTATAATAATAACATTTGCAGCTGTTTCTGCTCCCATGTTCTGAAGCTTCTTCCTTTTCAGGCAAAGATATTGTCCATTCTTTGCACTGTAGTATATAATGTTTGTACCACCTCTACTTTTATTTTTAAGTAAAACAACTATTTCCCCCAAACGAGCCACATTTGTATGAAGTGTAGAGTTTTATAATCCATTTGCATATAAAATTACAAGCTGTTTTTAATGGCTTTTGAAATAAAAATACTTGATAATTAGTATTTTGTACAGGACCAAGTGCTGCTCTTTCTTGTTTGTTTGACGAAAACTGACATTAAAATATGAAAACCAAACAACTTAAAAATTTGAAATAATTTCTCACCATTAAAGGTTTCTAATCCATCAAAAACTCTTTCATGCAATTAATATTTCAGAATAAATCTCAAAAATCTGTTATTTAACACAGTTCTGTATTTTCTGTCATACAAAGCATATCTTCTATAAACTACATAATTGAAAGTGTGAGCTCTAAATATAATCCCATATGAAAGATATAATCTTGTCTTTTCCACGAGAACCTAGGGGTAGTTGAAATTTTACTGTGCTGGTATAATTAATTACATTGAGTAGTTCATTTTCACTATAAAGGATATTCTACACCTTATAATAAATGAGTAGTTGGTGACAAGTTTCTTTTTCTAATGAGCTGGCAGTAATTTTCACAAAAAGTGGTGATATATGGAGAAAAAATATAGCCAGGTTTCTTGGCTCAAGGGAACTTGAAAGAATTGACCTTTAGAGCATAGATGCCACATTATCTATTTTAAAAAGTAGAGAAATAAAACCATGAGGTGATTCCAAATCACTTAACCATTAATCTCACTTACTCCTTAAGTAAAGGCAAAGAAGTTTTAGAAACAGTGACAGGAGAAAAAAGTAAATGTTCAAAAACCATGCAACTCAGAATTCTTCAGAAAAGATGGGAAAAGTGAAAAATAAGATTATGCAATGGAGCAATCTATCTAAGTGAAAAATACAGGAGTAAAGTAGGAGTTGCAAAAGTATTTTAGAAGTGAAAAGCATCAACACTTTATAAAAGGCAACAAGTTGTTTGTATAAGGACCATTAGAAATTTCTGAAGGAACAGGAAGAAACAAAGTGAATTCCAGAAGCAAACACTGCAGGAGTCATAGTGAGAGGTGAGAGCAAGTAACTGTTTAATTTCAGCCACTTAGATTTTTCCTGAAACACATGAAATACTGTAGCACAGTATTTTACATATTCAATTGTAATTTTATGTTTATGTACTGCAAATATAATAAATATGTTTGCATGTATGCCTCTGATTGATTAAGAATCACTGCACAAGGAGATTCTTTAGATAGACAGATCTATAGATAGATAATTCTTTGTTAAATGTGGCCAGTTTTGTGGAACAATTAGCACTTCCAGGGGTGACTGTAAACAGCTGTGTAACAGAATATGGAAGATCAGTCTTCAAGACTCAAGTCCCATACCTGCTGAAACCAGGAATTTCTGCTCCACTGCTGTATTTTAGTCACCACCTTTACCATCTCCTCTTACAATTCTGAATAAAGAAGAGGTTTTCTTACCGGAGTGAGTGCTCCTTCTGCTTGAGCTTCCATGGGACTTGTAGGGGTGGCTGCAAGAAGCTGTCCTGCAGCTCCAGACAGGAGTTCCAATTTATCTGTAAGCTGTTCAGATGCAGCAGGATGACATTCCATGTCTAGAACAAACTCCACTCCTGAAGTTTGGTTCTTGGCATGGACATTGTTTCCTGCCCAACCACCCTCTCTGGACTGCTCTTCTGGAAGGGACTCCTCTAGAACTTGTAGTACCTCTGGCTCTTCATCTGAGGGACTTCCAGTCATTTTGTGCCCTAAAGCCTCATTTGTCCTGAAGTCCTGCAAGTCCCGTTCCTTATCTATTATCACCCATTCCTTAGAATCGACCTCCTGCCTGCAGGAGCTTAGGTTAACAGCTACAAATCCATTGCTCATAACACCATCAGCATGGTCAGGAGAATTAGCTGACACGGGCTTTGAAGCATCTGGAAGATATTCTTCATCATAGTGCCAAACATGGTCTGTGCGGGCAGTCACAGGAGCAGGAACAGATGTTTTCTGAGGAACAGGAGGAACAGCAGCAACAGGAGCCTCTGCCAATTTCAAGTCTTTCTGCTTCTTCTCCAAACTTAGAGAAAAGAAGTTAATATCTGAATTAGTTAAGAATTAATTAAATAATGTAAGTTACATTTGAATGTTTTCAGAAGACGAAAACTAGATTTTTATAAAAATTTGTTGTCATATTCTAGAACAACCTACAGTGGTTCCAAGATACACAATTTGAGACAAATAAGTATGTTGTAAAGTAAAAATGGATGGATGGTCTTAGAAATATACACATTTTTAATTTTAGTTGTAATGTATCATGTTGTATTGTAAATATAATTACCAGAATAGTGAGAAAAAAAACCTCAGTAGTAAGGTTACCACAGATGTCCACTGTACTTAATTTGTTACAAAGCAGAGACTCAAAGAGGAACAGAAAAAACAGATGTCTCCTGAAGAAGTTATTATATGTTTTCAAGAAGAATGTTATTTATTGCTTTGATTGATTCCTTACTTATGCTTTGCATAATTTCCTTCATCAAACAAATTCAAATTCTTAGCTCCACCAAACATTTAGTATTTAAAAGGATTTTGCCACTGTCATCACCCCAGCTCTCCTCTACTGTCCCCTCTCAGTCTCTGCCTTTCAGTCAGATTTCACTGTGTCACTCTCCCCTTACTCTTTCCAGACATAGGCAAACTGAATCCATTTTCATACATCTCTCTCTTCTCTACCTTCAAATTCCATTTTAAGTTCTCTGTCTTTGACCAAGATTTTTTATGTTGGTGCCACACCTTTGAGCATAACTAAGCCTGCTGCATGCAGATAGATTTCTAACTTTTTCACTCTACTTCCTGTAAACCTCCCTTCTCATGTCATATAGCCTAATCTAATGTTACCTCTACTGAGCACCTGATGTCAACCTTCTTATTCAGGATGAGTTGCACTGACTGTCAAGAGTATGCCACCGAAGAAAAACTTAATAAATACCAGAGTTACAACCACTAGGTCTTGAAATACAAAATTCCCAGCTGTGGAAGTCCAACTTCAACTATATTGCTATTATTCTAGCAACAATAATTTTCTAAAGTAGCTGCCAAGTAGCGAAATTCATTAATTGAGCAATACTATGAAAAATACTTTACTGCAACTTGCATAAGCATACTCAACAGGTCCATTCCTGCAAAGATAATAGCATCCTAATCACATCTCCTCAAAAGACCCTAGCAAAAGGATAACATAATTTCTTTACCAGGTCTCAAGAAACTTATCAGTGTCGGGCTTAGACTCCAAGGTGAGACGCTTCTCCAGTTCAAAGCTGTGAATGGAACGCAACTTCCGCACCAGTGGAACATCTCTGTCTAACTGGGTGGTCTCTGAGCGAACCCGAATTGGAGAGCCAAGACTCGGGGCATTAAGCATGCCATTCCCTGCTCCATGGCTGTTTTCTTCTTCTGTGGCAGCCTGTGCAAAATGTAAAGTAAAAATGTAACTCACTAGGAGTGGCAAAACAAGAGGAAGACAAGGTACTACATAGTAAAGATCCTCCAAGTTTTTAGAATGTGAAAAGCCAATTTGTATTTGGAATGGTCCTTAAGTTCATGCCATAGTTAAGGTAGTTTAGATATGCCCTTCAGCATGCACCTATGACAGACAAAATACTGGCAATATACTGGTTATAGGTAAGTCTGAGATCAGGAGTATCAAAGACCCAGAAATAAAGTTATATTTACTCTGATATTTCACACTCATCTCTGAAGTTTTCTTTAATAACAGTCTGAAACCTTGCATTTGGTACCATCTTTTGTCTGCTTTACAGTCAACTGCTCTTATTAAAGAGAAGTTAGCTTCCAGGCTGTCTTTTTGATTCTCTGGAGCATATAACAATGTTACACCCTAAATCTACTAAATATTCCTGAGACTTTAAACTATGTTTTAACCCAACTCCATTCTATCTTAAATAATGACTGAATATGATTTAGAATAATAACTGAACATGATTTAGAGCTGGGAAATCATGATCATCCTTAGTTTCTACAGGTGTAACAAACAGTGCCTTTGCTTGAACCAGAACAATCTCCTTTCTCTCTCTTAGGTAAAAAAAAAACCCAAACAAATAAGCAGATTTGAAAATAGGCACCAATGCCTTGATCTATCCCACAATACAATTTTTTTCCTAGCAAATAATGAGAGACCTGATAAAGTGACACAAGGCCCAAAAGCCTGTCTGCTTTTTCAGTATATAAAATGTGTTATATCTACCATAAATCATTTACTTAGATCACTCTGGCTAATCAGTATCAGCACAAGTGCCTTATTAATTACATCTTATGTGCACTAGGAGGACAAGAAACTGTTAAAAAATGGTCTTCACAATGCAAATTTGAAAATACCTTACAGATCCCCAGTTTAATTTTGTTTCTGTTTGCATCCATTTCTTCCCAAACATCTTTTTCCTGAGGACGTTGATGTCCAGGGGACCCAGGTAGTTTCTCTGGTGATACACCAACAGGAATAACATTCTCTCCATCACTGAGCTGTTCATCAGGGAATACTTCATCTGTATTTTCCCTCAGCAACTCTCCTGGGATAGGAGTGGCATTGGCAATTCTACAAAAGCAGTTTAAAAACAAAATCAGAAAAGTAAAAATTTTTATACTCTCGTGTGTTTTCAGAAATTATTTTCTATTTTAAAAGAGAAAAACAAACAAAATCTTACAAAGAAAATCGTATTTCTGCAGAAAACTACATCTTGGAAATTTTTTAATATAAATCCCCCTACTTTCTGACTTTCACAACTTATTTAATTTAGGTACATAACAAAATACATAAATAAAAAAACCCTATCACATAAAAGCTGTTTTTTTTAATGTTTTTGAAGCCACTTCTGAGAAAATTTGTTAGAGATCATGTCCAGGCTCAACTTCTCTCCGGACTCTTCTGTACATATTCTTCTATTAAAAAAAGTCAATAGCGTCCATAAACACTTCTTACATTCATCCATTAACAACTCTTATGTTCTTCAGTCCCCTGAGATGAGTATGGGTATTATTAAACATCACATCTTGTCCAATTTACTTCATTGCAGAATGTCTCAAATAATATATTATTTAATATTTCAAACACAACCAAAATCTATCTCCAAATTTCTTATAAAGATCCATTCATTTTTTAAACTTATAAGGAAATTGCAGCTAGAATTTTATTCAAGCTTACAGAAAACAATGGGTTTATTTCCAGGCAGTTAAATTTCCAGGCACTTAAGCTCAGGACACATTATTTAGTTTCACAAAATGCAATTTAGCAAAGGATGGATGAGCAAATTTACATGCAATTTCCTGGAGTACTACTTTTATTACTGTAATTTTAGGACTGCAGTGCTGATCTTTCAGGATAGTATAAACTAGAACCCTAAAAAGGGAAATACTTCAAACACTCCCAAACCTCCCTTCCTCAATGCATTCAAAAGCCTGCAGAAAAACCTAAATTATGGGGATAATTTCCCTTTGGTAGGAAGCCCCTGTGTGGCAGCCACTGAAGAGGTCACCCCGTGCATACCCAATTGCAGCCGGCGTAAGGCGAGTGTGCAGCTGAGGGGTGGTTGAAGTTGTGGTTGTTGTCAGAGAGCCATCAGTTCCACTCTTCTCCCAGTCAAAAGGGTCGCTTTCAATAACCCCAAATGTTTTCATGCTGTTGTCAAACACAGACATGAGAAGCTGAAAATAAAGAAGAAAAGTTAATAAGCTTCATTTTTGTCTAAGAGACCAAGCAATTAAGAAATATCTTCCTGTAATACAGACAACAACGTTAAAAAAAAAGTTTTTAATATGAAACAATTCTCATTTTTCAAGATTTTGAGGCCAAGATATACAAAACTCCATTTTATTAAAACAGGAAAAAAAAATCCACCCACATCTCTGTTTTTATCAGACAGGAGTAAAAGATACACCATAGACTTTTACAAGAAGACAGAAATACACACACACACAGAAGCATGACTACATTGCTGCAGAATACCATACAATGGCTCTCTAGCAGAGGAAGAGAAAAGAATACATTTGGTAACACCGTGAAACCAAGGAAATGAATGAGATGTAGGAAAGGATACTGATCTGCTAATTCATGCCTTTCTGACATTAAGAACCACATATCATTTACTTCATATAATGCTGACATTTATACTATACAAATGTAATCTTCATTTTATGCTATGAAAAAGCCTTTAGAAAATTGGTGCCCACAATAGAAAAACAAAAGGCATCACTTTCCTCTCTCTGTGAAATAAACTTTGTCTCATTCTAGTCGCTGATGGGAAGGCTGTGTCCATATCATTCTCTTACTATGCAACATTTCTAATTTCTTTTTCCCTTAGAAGCTAAAAACTGGGGGTTTTTTTCCAATCCAGGATGCTGAAAATTTTTCCACACTCTCCTCTGGCATACCCTTTGGCAACTTAAAATAGATGAGAAGCTTGGATCTTGGATTTCTCTTATATAGAGTGGTCTCACCAACTTAATCTTTACTCTCAAGAACCTTCTGTGTGCCACCTGTCCCAGTCATTTCTGTAACCCTACTGAAGAGCACAAAACCACAGATCACTCTGTCCTTTGTGTACTGTGTTCAATCCTTCTCTTCCTCTAAACATTAAGCAGTGTCTCTGAAGTAATTTTTAAGGTAATTCTCCTTTAAATATTTTAACCAATTTCTCCTATAAGGCAAATACAAACTCTCAAATGCTTAATATCAGGAGGCTGAGGCAATGTGCACAAATACCTGAATAAAATAAACACCTGACATTGCTAAATCAAACATGGCTTCTTGACCTAGGTCATGAACTTTTTAGACTGTAAACTCTTGGAAGCAGGGATACACATACATTCTTATTCAGTGCCCACCCATAAATACAAAGAATACAGTAGGTAGGAACAACACCACTACAAACACAAGTTAAGAGAGACCAGAGTTTAAAAGTGCATTCTCACTGCTCTAAATAAAACCACCTTGCTCTGGTCCAAAGCACATGAGCAAGACTGTGCTGTAAGGCTCAGGCTGCAGCTACACAACTCCAAATCTTTCATGAATAGCCACAAGACTGTAAATTACTGGGCTGTCTCTACCATGGAAAATCTCTGTCCTGGTATCATGTTAATTGCTGAGTGCTAGATACAAATAGACCACAAAAAAGGGTTTGCAAAAACACGACCGTCTATATGCTTTATCATTTAGGTTTTGTAATGTAAAACATATCTACCAGTCTATAATCAAGGTTTTTCTATGCCACATCAAAGTTTCTGCAATAGTACTTTCTACCATAGGAAAAAAAAATTTAATACATCTTTATAACCAGGCACACAAAACACTGAAAACTTTTTCCTCGCTTAATTGTAAACTGTAAGATATATTTCATGGCTATTTGTAATGGAGAAGGGTAGAAAAAAAAAATCAAAGTCTTTACTTTTCAGGCATATTGAACATTTTTTGTATTTGTAGTAAGTTTATTTTAACATTCAAATTTTTTCACAAAAATCGATTTGTTTTGCAAATGTGCAGTATCATATACCAGTATATTTAGGGAAATCCACTTACTAACAGGAAATCAGTTATTCCTTGAGATTTTCAGCTCTCATTTCAATTCTTTTACATCTTAATTTCTTTGTTAATCTTACCAAGCAAAGTAGAGGAGTCACTCTTATCAAAGTTACAATTCCAGAATTAGTCAGATTTATTTATTCTGTTGAGCCAATTACACTTGAACACCAACAGAAAGCCATTCCTTCTGATCCCACAGATTTAGGGAGTTGAACAAAGGCACAGAGGCAGACAGGTCCTGCAGGTGGGAAGCTGACAGGAATGCTTGTTCCTGGGAGCCAGAAGGAAGGCACACAGGGACAGCTTGTCATGGTGTGCAATTCTATCAGTACAACTTCTCACAGTGTGCAAGACTGAAAACTCTCAAGTGTTTCCTTCCCTGCTTTCCCTGAGAATTCCTCTGATGATTTCCACGAACTGGAAAAAAGTTCTATCTTTTTTTATTGTTAATCACAGGTCAACACTGAGTGAGTTAAGATACATTCTACAGCATATCCTCTTGGCACATAACACCTTACCACTGAGCAGAGACTGCCCATTTCAGCAGGCAACACTTTCCTAAACAAAGAAAAAAGACTGGTCTTCTGTGATCTCTGTACACAATACTTCAGTTTTGAAAACACACCATGAGTGTAGGTTGTGCTCTAGCTGTAGGTGCCGAGTTCCAGACTTTAGACAACTGCCAGAATGACAACCAGGGAGAGAACAATCTGAGCAATTAACTTATGGAGCACGTACTAGAGGCTGTGATAGTAGGCTAGCTCCAATCCTAACAGAATACTGACTGAAAAGCAGGTGTCAATTGTTTTTAGAAACTTAACAGCCTTACATCTCCCAAATAGAAGAAACAAACATGTTTGAACCACAGAGTTTCCGTGGCACTAAATGGTCATTAAATTAACTTTGTGGTGGCACAAACCATAATACCAAGATTACACAATGAAATCAAAGTAAATTAAAGATGAAAACACATAAAATTCTCTTCTTTATAAAACAGAAATACAAAATAAGTGTTTACCTGGTAATCAGGCTTTGTGAAGTAATCTAAATTAGAAATGTGATCCAGAAAGACGTTGAATTCTTGAGGAAGGTGTTTCAACATAAGCCTGTGTTCGTACCTTTCTTTAATGGAGCCCACTTGCTCCTAGGAGTAAATAACACAACAAACATTGGCACACCTTCATTCTCTATTACAACACACAGAGAATGTGAATTCTCTGTTACAGCCATTCAGTACACTACTGGAGACAGGTCACTACATTACACTGCATGGTACTGAGAAAGGCCATTCTACCAGAGAGCAAGACAGGAGATTCAGGTTTTGGCCTCACAAAATAATATACAAACTTCAAATTCAATATGAAAAGCCATTTAGTTTTCTACTGTGTTTATGTTGTTTGTCTTGTTTCTGTTTGGATGATACAAGGAGATGTCACTAAACACACCAACCCTTTCTAATATAATATTTTAAAGATTTAAACATCCTGTTGCATCATGTCAAGTTCAGTCACTTTTTGGTGTATATTCAGTCATGTAAGATGCATAAATCAAAACCAAAAAGGAGATGCTACCTATACACCACACTGTCATGTACCAATGCATAAACCATGTCACCTGGTTTCAGTATCATTTCAAAAGAAATTGCAAAAAGTAATAACAGGCTGATTAGTTATTGTTTCTTTGCATACTTTACTTATGATATATGAATAAAGACACTACTGCATACTGCCCAATCCACTTTTGTTCACCAGAAAATAAGAAATGCCTATTTCACAAACAATCAAAACAGATTAGAAATTTTAAGCGTGTGATAGGTGAAATAAGGTACTCAACTGCTAACAGGAATAATGAACTAAGTGGCAAATATACACTTACTTCTGGCCTTTACAATAATTTCAGTCTAGAAGTATAACCTCCTTTGTCCCTAGAACACTTAGTAAAATTTGATTGCTTTTTATACTATGACACTAGCCATAAGAACTAACACTAGAAAACTCTAGAAAATGTAATGTTAAAATTAATTAATGATTCTAAGAGGAATCCTTATCACAGAATTTCCCTGGAACCCAGAAGTAAACCTCCCTTATGCTTTTTGGTTTCACCTCTAGCTTTACCTTATCTTTTATTTTTCTCCAAGGCAGTTGGCCAACTACAAATTCCACCAACATGTAGAAGAGAGACCAGAGGTCATCATGCCGACCCATTTCCTGTAAAAGGAAATATTATTTTAAAGCATATTACAAATACCTAAACAAATGGGAAGATAAGTTCTTTACTGCTCGAAAGTTAAATTATTAAATAAAATTTAATATAACCTATGCAGCAAAAAAAGTAAATTAAATCCAGTGGCTATTTTAAGAAGAAACATACAAGTAAATTTCCACAGAAGACAGAGAGAAATAAATTAAACATTGAAGTGTGTTAAAATAACATTGCAAATCTGTTTATTCAGATTTCTTTAGAATATGTTGTTAAGACAACATACTGGGCATTATGTACCTCATAAAACTCAGTAGCTTCACTTTTTTAACTAATTAACTTGCAATACAATTGAAAATCAAAGATAAGTATTTGAATCACTATTATTTGCACAAGAACATTTTTATCCTCAACTAATGTAAATTACATGATCCTTTCACAAAATTCATAGCTATGAATTTCCCCATAATAAAGGCAAATGAGCAATGACTGTTCCTGGCTGTCTGCAGCTCCAAGAGAAGGGTGCAGCATGCAGCCCGTGTTACTCACTCTGTTCCTGTGCGCGTTGATCGATGCGTACCGCACTGTTCCGCGAAAACCAGCAACAGCTCGCGGCTGTCAGAGAACACAAGAGACTCTCACTGGCAGGAACAAACACTCTGACTACTCAACTACAAAGCCACAACGTATCTCATTTGAGATTTTATTTCGTTTTACTGTGTTTCTCCAAGTTGTCAGTAGAAATTCAAGTGGGCACTAATTGGCTGACCAAAAAATAGCAAAAGCAGCACAACAAACACCAATTTAAAATATTTCTTTCTTTTCCAGTTTCTGAAAAACAGTATTTTTTCCCTGATACTCTTGATATCTTGCGATCTTAAGTCAATTGATGTTTTACAATCAGAGAATGTATTTTCCCATCTTGCTTTCATTCAAATAAAAACATTACAGAAAGAATTATATAATTGATGACAGTCACAATTAGTAGATATTTAATTTTTTAAAAAATCAAACTGCGATATTATGACTTCGCCTAAGAGAGATCCAATCCATGCTACCCCCTTAATTAATCATTGTACATAGGACTATTAAATTTGCTTTCTTTTATGCAGTCTTATCTTCCCAACCAATAATCCTTTTTGTTTACTCTAACAATGAATATAAGAAGCTTGAATTATCTACCTCACCTCTGACTTCTACTTAGAGAGGTATTGGTGATCTGTCTGCTCTCCCAAGACTCTTGACAATTCTTAAGATTGTTATTTAAATTTGCACAATACATTGAAAAGTCTGGTTTGACATACACACAAAAATAACCACAATACATAATTGATACCTTATTAAGATAAAGCACTTCACCTCTATCTACCTATATATATATATATGTGTGTGTGTGTATAATTTTTTCATAGCCACCCACAGATGCTATACAAAGGTATCATTTAAATAAAGCAGGGGCTGCCATTACTGTCAATAAATCTAATGATTGAATCCAGCAGGATTATGCAGCAACATCTTTTAAAAAGGATTCAACAGCCCATATAATCAATGTCTGCTAGAGTACAATGAGAGCTGAATCAGTGTTACTTAAGGCAGAGAATATTTTCTAGGATGTTCTTAACATGAAGAGTTGTATCATTGTATCAGATGATATTCCATAGATCTTAGACTTTGCACATCATCATACAGTTTAAATGATGCTCAGAACACATTTCATTTTTAGGCAGGACTGACTCAACTGCCTGAATTATCTTTAATTTTATAAGCATATCATATTCCACACTGAACATTACCCTGAAATGAAACATAACACTGTAGTTGCAGAAATTTCACAGTACCATGCTATTAGAAAAAGAATAGCTCAAAATGCTTTGGAACTGCAGGTTGGTAAATCATCCAACTAAGAGTAATATAGCATCACTGCCAAGACAATCAAAATACAGCTAAACTTTTAAAAATATGTAGTTTAATGAATAGCACTTTTTCAGGAGGGCATTGAGAGCTTAACTTTAAAACAGTTGAAAATACAAATTCCATAAATCTCAAGAGCATATAGTTTCAGAAGATGAAACCAAACGTTTGCTGTCTTTTGCCTCTGGCATGAATGTTAAAAAGTAAGGACTATATCCAGTTTAACTTAGTTAAATATTTCTGTTCTTGTGAGAAAAATGGAAAATATGAAACTTAGGATTAAATACTGCTTTCATTTCTAGCAGTACAACTTCAATTTCTACTTGATAACTAGGATAGAACTGTTTCAGTTGGTGGATAAAGCAAGAGAAAAAGACTAAGAAATGTCACATGAAAACTATATTATGCCATTCAGTTTACAAAATCTAAAAATCTGACCTATTCCACTTCTGTTCTGGGGAAGAAATGTCCATATGAGGAAATTCATTGTGTACCAATTCAAATGCTTTTGAATGTTAAAGTCACACCCATCCTTACTTGCCCTAACATGATTTTCAATTATATGAGAATCACCTGGATGAGAAGGAAAGGAAAAAAAAAAAGAACATTGTTTCTATCTATGAGCTTATCATGAAGTGAATTCATTATTTCAGCAAGGGCATCTAAAGCCTTTCACTGTATCTTGCCTTAAAGTATAGTTTCTATAATCTGAAATAAAAGCATATGTCACTCTGTTATATTTCAAGATGCCATAAAATACCTTTTAGTAATGCAGTTGGTCACCATTCAATAGCAGTATTACAATGCCACACAACAATAATGAAATAATTCTACCATGTCTCTCTTGACATGAGTGATGCTCTGTAGGTCAAATCAAGTTTGCCCAATACAGAACAGAACTTCCAGACTCCAGAGCATTTGCATAACTTCTCAAACTGTTTCAGAACTCTTCATGCATATCAAATCTCATGTAGCAAAAGAAAAGTACTAAATTCTTCAAATTTAAGTTAAAAAAAAAGATTTTGAAGATACATGCAGATGAATTAAGCAGATCCAGTGACTACAATGAATTTTTCTACTTATAAAGGTACTTTTTAAATGTAACATCAGTTTTCTTTGGAGATGTCACTGCCTGGAAACACTTGGCAATGTCTCAGTAAACTACATGAAGGAAATTAGCTGTTCCTAGCAAAGTGAACTATTTCCACTAAGCACACAGCTTTGAAACCCCTGGGAGACACTATGCTTACAAACCTATGAATGTTGCTTTTTGGAGTAGCTGTGGAAGAGGCAAAACACTCCTTAGCTCAGTTCAGTGTCTCTAGATAAATGCTCTGGGTTCACTGCTCTGGGCAACATTGGAAAGGTTACACAGAGCAAAAAAGTTCACTTATTACTGCAGTCATGGAAACTAGAAAATCAACATGAAAAAATAAATCACTACTGGTTCTTTACATTATATCTGAGACACGCCATGGTGCTCCCAATCAATCAGGCCATGACTGAGTATTCCTAAGTGTCTAGGTTTTGCACTAAGAAGCCAGCAGTGCTGCCTAGAGAGTAGGGTTCAAAAGCCATAGGGGATGGGTAGAGAAGCAGCTGCCTGTTACCCCTATTTTCCTTTGCTAATGGTAGAATTCTCCTTTTTTATCTTTTCCCTTGAAAAAGACAATTTCCTATTTCAAATTCCATCAGAAATGTATTTCAATGATTGGAACTACACACAGTTCCAAATCTTTGAAACCTTTTTTCTTAGCTTCAACAATTCACACTCCAATCCTTCCCTTTTTGAGCATATAAACTTTGCAATCCAATGTAATGCTTAGCATATGTTAGCATCAGTTGAGAGCAAATGAAAATTTCAGGGATCACTTTAGTTAGGAAAGATCAAGCAGTTGAAATACAATTGCCATTACAATATATTACAGATCTCAATTGATTATCACTGCATATACAGATCTTCCAACCCACACTTTCAGCTCTGTCTTAAAATCCATATCAGACACTGAGTACCTGCACTTAGACCTCCTCCTCAACCCCTCCCCTACTAGTTGTTGGTATGACACATTACTTGGACTCGGATTTACCTGAACAAACGTTGTGATTTCCAAAAACTGACTGCAGCTGTCTGATCCTATGCTACCCAGTCCCAGCAGAAGGTGAGTAACAAGGTAAGTTAACAACTAACAATACAATTAAATTTTGCTATTGTGAGTTCTAACAGACGTGTGGTGACAAATGAAAATTGATCTCCTACTTCATGTGTTATAAATAGCAACACCATCTCTAAGCCAGCAGTATTTGATACACAAAACATCTCCTGAGCTATTCAGCTTTCAGTCTGGAGTACTCAGCCAACGTGATGCTTGAGCTAAAGACTACAATTGTTCCAAAGCTGATTTAAAAGCAGAGGAAAAAGTCTGGTTAGCTGAAGAGGGTAACAACCTACTAATGACTGTCACAAAGCTAAACTTACTGCAGTGAAAAATCACACAGGATAAGCCTGCCATGTGTATGTTTGCTTTGCCTTGTGCAATCTTTCTTCTTCATCTTATTCCATGAGCTGAAGAAGAGATTACTGTAAGAGGAAAACTATCTATATGAATCATATATACTCTGGCAAATAATTACCCAACAGAGCAGAATATTGCTTTAAAAATTTTTGTTCTGCACTTACCAGACTGGAGACCTTAATTTTTTATGTTTTGTACATATCTAGCTTAGTATTTATAATGATAATACCATATATTAAAGAGTGCATAAAGCCAGAAGTAGACTTATTTCAACTACAGATGGAAAGCAAAAAGTCTCAAGGCAGTTAATGTACATAAATGTGCCTTCTTTCCAATTCCCTTCCCTGTCCCACAGGGGCAGGAGGGGGTGAGGGAAATGAGAAAGAAGCTCAGTGGTACTTGGTTGCCAGCTGAGGTTAAACCACAACAATAAAATAACACATTTTCCTTCTTTTAACTCCACAGAGAATTTAGCCCAAAGCTCAGAAAGAGCTGAAAACCAGAGTTTCCTGCTTGATTTTTGCTTGCTTCTATTTTCACCAGAAAACAAATTTTACTGGACCAAACCATCTGTCTTACCACCACAATAGCTTTTAATTTCAAACAAATAGGACAGCTCTCAAAGACTCTCAGTTCCTCCAAATTTAATGAAAATTGGTGATTAAAGACAGAACCCAAATTAGTACACTGACACAGAGACAGACAGTTAAAATGCAATTAAAATGGCTCACATCCATCTTAAGAGACACCAATCAGCTGATCAACCAGCATTAATTTTAGATGGCATGTAAATACAAGCCTAGTCCCAAAAGTGCAAGTAGGTACTGGTCAGAAAGGTAAGCTGTAGTATGAAGCTGAAAATACTAAGAAATTTGGAGGGCATAAGGGAAGCAGTACACAAAACAATAGAAAAATTGTAAATTTCACCATTCATAGAATAATTTCTTTCAAAAATAAGATCTAGTATCACTAGAAAAATTATTTCTTTTTTTTATAAGGCTGTTACAGCCCATTCCCCTGAGCATCTATTAGCTCTATAGAAAACAAAGGAACTGCTGAATCAGAATACAGAACAGCTATAAGCACGTTTCAGAATGTCTAATTTAAATTTCTAAGTTAAATTGTTTAATGATTGTTTGGATATGATACGAGTGTTCTGCACACAACATGAAAGGAGAATAAAAACAATAT